TGTAAAATCTGTTGTCCTTTCATAATTCGAGTGTCACTAGAAGGAACTCGTGGTTTCCACACTCCCCTATTGAGCCTTCGAAACTACTCAATTGGACGAGATGCTTCTAAGAATGGACGCGTCAGGTAGTGGTACCCTTACCCTTGTTTCTTGACAGATTTTCATTCTCCAATGCAGGTTAGAGGAGCAGGCCGTGCTGGTCGTACGAACGGAACGGGCCCATAAATTTTCTTTCCTCCTAAGTGTCCCTCTTTCCTACGATGATGGAGAAGAGGCACAAAAACTGAGAACTCTCAGCACCCTGACGCTTGACTTCCTCCAAGTAATTATCATGGAATAGGACATGCTTCATCGATGAGAATTTCTTCCTCAGTACAACCCCCGTTTCCGTTCAGGAATCCTCGGCATACGACGTGCTTGCCGTAACTTATGCCTTTTGAACAACTGAATATATTTTGTGTGAGGCCGCGTTCATACATTGCGACCTGACCTATTCATTCGCGCGACTGCTAATCGCCCCACCGTCAATCTTTAGATGGTCGAAGAAAACTTAATCCTGAACGTGACTGAATTGCCAGTAGCAGCGGTCCGACGATTAACAATGGAGCACGATTGGTCGCAGTTGGGTGTGACAGATTTTTTCAAACTGCCAAGTATGAATAAGGCTTATTGCAAAGCCTTTGACTTCACGTCGATCCGAATAAATCTTGTTACTGACAGTACAACATAAACAGCAGTCGCTATGGGGGGCGGGGAAGGGAGAGACGTCCAGGAACTCGTTCCACTCATATCATCTGCAGCCTCTACCGACTACTAAAGTTCTTTGATACAATCCTGCACTATATGTATGTTAGGGCGGCCTTCATACCATACAGTATGTCCTCAACCTGTTCTTCGCACCCACTCCGACCAATTTATGAACTTATGAGTTAGTTCATGAATTAGGTCGGAGAGTTAAAATATATGGTGGTGGGTAAATCCGACTCAGAATCAAGTTTGCGTTTACATTCTTCACATTACCTCAAAAAACTGAAGCTGAAGAAGTCGATCATCATCGCACGCAGTCGAAGATGAGACGTGAACAGCGTTGAAAAAATGTAGGAACCTGAGAAGGATCTAGCCGCTGACGGTAGCTTGGTGGGACCCTGAAAATACCTAGCATAGGTAGTTTCATGGCATGGGAGTCCGCCATGAATTTCTCTTTCTTCTACAACCCCTTTCCCCTATTACTAGGAAGGCTCAGCTATACTTGTCTTTTTCCACGCCTAAAACTACCTTATTTGCGCCTTAATAAGACCGCATCCATCCAGAAATCTTTGGCAACTTTTAGAAAGTCCGTAGCTAAACAATCCTTTATGGCGTTGTTCAATTTTTTTACTGTTTTTTGTTTATCCTTTTTTTTCGGGTTTCCTTGTTCTAGATTTTGTATTCTGTTTCGTGTTTTTTTTTGTATTTTTTTTCTGACGTTGCCTTGCACAGCGTACTGAATAAAGTATAAAGTGTAAGGTGATCTAGTCACACATTAGCGTAGTAGGACCCTGAACATACCCAACATGGATAAATTGGATGGAGTTTCAGCGGGCGAGGACCCTCGAGAGACATACCCGTATTGCACGGGAGCGGTGAAGCACTATGGACGTCATTTACGGCTGAGGCGTCGTGAGATAAGCGCGTCGTGAATGGCTAAATTTCAGAACAAGCGGTGCTCTGAGTGACTTCAGTCCACCTCAGAGAAGGAGAGCACGACGACGACGTAGCAGTGCAACTGTTGTGAAGGCATGAGAACCACCCTCTAATGGTAAGAATTCACTGAACTTCTTAGCCCAGGTCAAGTGGCTACGAAGTTCACCAAAGTTGGAGGGTGGAAAAAAGGCTCATCCAAGACAAGCTTTCACAAGAATCAAGGCTATGGCAAGAGTCGTTTTGACCTGGAAGATGTCTCCGAAAGCGGCCACGTTTCACAAGAGCAGCGAGTCCTGCGACAGCAGCGCGGGCACCTGGGAAAAGGAAGGCGGGCGAGAGAAACCCGTCTGTTGAACACCTGAGCACACCCCACACTTTTCACTCACCCACCACACATTTTTCATCTACTTCTCACCTTTTCGTTTCGGGGAGGATCCGCCTGCCTTTGGAGTGGAAGAAACTTCATTTCATCATATTTTACTGTTAGGTCTCACAATAGTTTAAATTCAGATGATCTATCACCAATGAGCGAAGCGAGCGGACGATTAGGAAGCAGCGCTAGGAATTCGGATTCCAACAAAGCAGTAAGTTCAGTCTTAACTTCCTTCGAAATTCACCGAGTAATCTCCTCGCTTCATAAGGCATAACGGAGATATTTGGACAAGGGACTTCCGTGGCGTGCCGTTGAATGCAAACACAGCCAAAATAATTTCGCGAAGGCTTAGGCTCGACTTGTCTAGTTCAAAGTCTTCAGGAAGGTTCTTGATGACAGGCACATCAATACTTGCGTTTCACCGACATAGGACTAGTTTAATTCGCTGGGGAGACGTGTCATTTTTGCTGAGAAGAGTTTCTGTCCTAAAATGTTGGATAGAGTGCGCAGGAAATCTGACGGAAAGAGCGGACATTCCCATTCATTTAAGGCAGTTGGTGCCACGATAATTTGACTCGCTCAGCATGAAATTGCTGGTACGGCGCAATGGGCGGGGAACATCGCGAGAAGAACTGGTTGAAACCGGTCAAAACTCTTTGCCGAGAGAAAGGGTCTCCCTTCTCACATGGGTTTAGAAATCCATTTCGGACGAGTTTACCCGTACGCGTTTGCCAATCACCCGCTACCGAGTTTACTGCATGTGCTGTACTCATATAATTCATGAAGCACCGCCGCCGCTTCAGGGCAAATCCTTTACTTCTAAGTTGCTAAGGACAATGAATTCCACATACGAGCGTCAGAGAACGTCGTCCATTTGGGCGCACACATGGGGGCGTTCGGTGGTCGTGGTATGTTGTTAGCTGGATAGGGCCCTCATACCGTACTCCCTTGGCGAAGGGCCCGGCTAAGCGCATGCTCAAGGGCGACTTAATTCCGTGGCCTGGACATGGAGCATATCAATACCTATCTTCTTTCTCGTCTTTAGGGTTATCGTGCCAACTGCCTCTAAGCCTGTCTCTCCCCCTCACACCCAAAGGGTTCTGGATATGGTTTTGGAGGTAAGAAAGTAGGTCAAGTTGGACTCGTGGGTTGGAAGTGGTCATAACTGAGGCAGCGATAGTAGAAGGTTGTTCTGAATGAACCCTATCTCATTCCCCGCTATAGTAAACTTCCAGTGGTTGATCGATAACGTTGAGATGGGAAGTAAATTACGACCTTGTGAAATACCATTCAAGTTGCATATGCCACTTCAGCCTCGACTATTCGTATCAGCCAACTTAGTAATTTTTTCAATTCCTTTTTTTTGCTTTCTTCGTATCCAGTCTGGTCAGTTTTGCGATTGCAAGTTGGGCGGAAAAAGAGAGCCGTATTGTGAACTTGTAATTTTACTACCTTTTCAAGTACGATATAGCGCTGCTTAAATCACTTCAGCCGTTGCTCTTTGCATCAGCCCGCTTGTTGAATTTTTTTTATTCCACTTTTGCTTTCTTCATGATTTCCCTAGTCATTTTGCGGTCGCAAGATGGGCGGAGACAGAAAACCTTCTCTATTCATAGCAGCAGAGAGGCCTTGGTGGATACAGGGACATTTATTTCCGCTCAGCGATGGGAATGTTCCTTTGAAAGTTGCTCGTCGTTTCGTAAACATGAGAACATCTGACCGCTGCGTTTCAGGAGAACAAGCCGAAATCGGTCGAAATCAAAGTGCAGCGTACGGAACGTGTAGAAAGACGTGAGCAGTACGAAAACAAAGATTGGATTAACAACAACGATACCTATGCCATGCCAAAGTGAGTCACTACTTAGGCAGCGTTCAGACTTGTCGCGCTGCGCAGCGCTGCAATCGTCGCGCTGCAGTTGCAGCTCTGCGATTGTAGCTTTGCACAGCGCGACAAGTCAGAACGCTGCCTTATGCATTCTCTCCCTCTCTGGCGCCAAAATACTTGCTTCAGAGCGCAATCCGCATTCGGATCGCGATCATCATTAGCGACGTCGCAGGCACGAGGCGAATCTAGCGACATCGACTTCAGTTGGATTCGTGATGAGGAGAGAAAACTCAGGAACGAGGAACGAGGTAAGGTGATATCATGAAGTCAAATCTCGAAGAACTGCGACACGTTTTTTCTGCCAGATGTTACTTTTGCAGAGAATGCGAAACGCCTGCCAGAATGCTATTTCGGTATGGATCCTCCAAAATTGGATGACACACCGCTTACTTCTCATAATCGTTCAGAACGAGATGAGAAAGAGAATCATCGTAGCATCGGCAATGTTCGCAGCACTGCGGCAGCATTTGAGAACGAGCTGAGGGCAAAACGAGAGCAGGTACAGCGCTTGAATTGGACCCTCATACAACCTTTCTTAGCTTAACTTCTTCGGTTTCTTGGTATTTTTGGAAGAGATTGCTTACGTAGTGGGGCCAGGCGTAGGAATGGAGCCACTACGTAAGTTAGGGCCTCTGTGCCCTTCTTCTGTCATGATTTATTGGCGATTTTTGACGATTCTCGCACTAAAGATAGCGACAGATGAATGATAAAATAGGATAAAAGGGGCACGGTCTTCGGCGTTGACAAGTTCCCTTTCGGGAATACAGCCGCATTCTAGTTCCACTCAGGAACATTAGGGAATACTGAATGCGCTGTGGCCCCATACAACGACTTGCGGGGCCAGCCGATGTACGTGTCAGTGTTCTTGTCCTCCTAGATGAATATGGTACCAAATTACCGTCCCCAGAAGGTTGAGGGCTTGGTTTGCGCCTGAGCGGGAGTCCATCCTAGGATTGATTGCCCCGGGGCCATTGGCGCAGTGGTAAACGTGCGCATATTGCCAGCAGCACCATATCCAGCCGGTACAAAAGTTACTCCAAATATAAACTTGCAAGAGGGAGAGATATACTACAGATTAATCAATTCCCTTTCGTAGGCGCCCTTCTACGGAAGGAAGACAAATTAGTTCAAACCAGGTACAAAGGTTCAGGGTCATCGGAGAGTGTCTCCTCTGCGAGACTATCCCTTCACGATTCTCGTCGTCTGCCCCCGGACTTTCGCCTTGGCTATGGGAAAGGCCACACAGACGCGGCGAAGTGCCCCTTCCCCTCCCAGTTACGATTTAAAAGTCTCGGTCGCGTTACTGCCGCTATTTCCAGCCTCCATTTTTCCTCACTATCTTGTATAGCTGGTTTAGGCAGGTGGAACGAATTGTGTTCAAGTTTACTGAAGTTTTTCCTCTTCTCTACTCCTTATTCTTACTTCGCTCTATTTTTATGACTCTCAATGAATAAAAAAACCTCATAATTCTCTGTCTCTGCCTGTCGCCTAAGGGAGCAGCGTCTTCTAAAATTATCATAGTTTAAATGGTGAACGATCGCTGACCCTTCCTGATGGATGGGCTTTAAGAGATTTTATTTCGAAAACTGTTCCCAACACAGGACCTGCCCTCCTCTCAGATGACATAACAAGAAAGATTCTTCTTAATCGGATTGGTCGAGCTACTCGATGGACGGTACAAGTGAACCCTCTTCACTCTCAGAAAAAGAACGCTATTCTTTCAAAATATCAGATTCACTCACAAGCAATAAAGGAACTGGGGAAAAAGACCATCCAGGAGTGGTGTTCTAATTGTTCAATGACATTGATATGACCCAACAGAGCGTGTAATATGACTATTTTCTTTTAATTTGGCTACTTACATGTCTGTTTTTTTGTTGAGCTGCGAATTTTATCACTTATTTTCAAAGTACGAAGGAAATTTCTAACGGAGAATTAAATGGGAAATCAACCTCCCAGATTATCTTCCACCAGTCATCTCACTTCTTTTACAGGCGCTGAAATCCCGATCGTCCACACATTTGGAGGATCGCCAAATGGAATATTCAGCTAGGCGTGAGATGGGGCCAATGGCAAGGCGTTTACAACGAATGCAGGTAGACAAGGCTTTCTACTCTGGAAAAAACACCGTAGGCGTGCCTGTCTGCCAGAGGGTACTTCGCTGTTTCAATTTGTTATGAAAGGCTGAGTTATGAGCGGGACTTTGGATCTGAAAATGTACCCTAGCTTAAATCCACCCCCTTGGGACAACGTGCTTATCCGCTATGATGTCGAGGATTTACTGTCTTCCCTCAGGCTGTACTTTCACAGCCAATAAGATGACCACGATCACAGTCGCTGTGATAGACTTTTGATATGCCAACTGCCGCTTAACGCTTCACTTCGCGCTCAGAAAGTTTCCAAAGGTACGCTGAGTCATGGGCAGAACACTCGATCTCAAGCGAGACTCAAGCCTGCACCTCATGCTTACCGGTCGATTGCGCTCTCCGTCACCCATATCGTGAGAACTTACTTATTATCGTGAGAACGATGAGAGTTCAACTAGAATATTCGAGAGAAAAAATGAAGACCATTTGGAGGCGGAGTCCTAAGCAAAATCTGGCGTTCATCAATCAAAAACTGCTTCGAAATCTGATACACAGCATTCTTGCGATTAGCGGAAATCTTTCAGGAGTCTGGCAGACTCAGAAACGTCCTGTTTTCATCTCCGAGTTGTAGAGCACATTCAAAAAGCACATTACTACCGATATCTATCCGATTACATGAGACCTGTTCTAGTGGTACCTCAGCATAGCAGCTTGTCCACATTCCTATGGCTACTTGAAGGAATCTATAAAAACCCGAATGGTCAGCTTCAGACCTGCTATCCTCGTTGCCCCCGGAATTTTTTTTTCTGCTTTGAAACTATAGTGGAGGCCTGCCTTTAGTCATTGTAGACCGGAGATGGGCGCTTGAGTCACTGAGGAGTTACTCGGAGGAGTATGTCTTATAGAGCGTGTTTAGCGCTTGACCATCATTCCGGGATGCGCCGTACACTTAGTTTCTTTGAATTCTTTATCATAAATGAAAATGAGTTTGGTTCTACACTGTACGGTCAAGGGTTGCTGGAGGTTTTGATGATACCACGCATCTTCGGCTCTGGTGTCCAAAAGGGGAGCTTTCAAGAACAGCAGCCTCCGCGATGGAGCTCGTTAAATAGTGCGGTTCAGGCTGACTTTGTACGGTGCTAAACCTGACTCTGCCAGCGGAAAAAATGCAGAAGAACCAATACACGAAACTCCGCAGATAGGGTCCGGTTGATTCCGCACACGGGAGCGAGCATGCCAGATGCGTAGAGGGTCTTCTGCTCCCTAGCGTTCCTTTCCAACGAGTTTGTCCGGTACGCTTTTTTTCACACAAAGGGGCTTTCCCCAATGGTCCCTGTTTTCCAGATGTCGGCTGCAGACAGACCAGCAGCATTCATATCCTTCTTCAGGTTGTCTATCCATCGCAATCTAGGTCGGTTATTTGAGGCTGCAAGCTTGACGCAAGTTTCGGATACATCTGATGATTTTTTTTCACAGTAGGACTCTGCTGTGATGGTCTGGCCTGGTGACAAAAGTTTTCGTGGATCACACCAGCCAATGACCAGCACACTGTGACCATAATCTTTTTCGTGAAGGATTCGGCTTCGCAATTGCCTCGGTGGTTTCGTTCGGCATCCAACACTGTCGGCGGAAGCGTCTCCTGCTATCAAATACTGATCCACTTTTTCATCACAGGTGACAATTCGGTCCAAAAACGGGTCGTTTCTGTTGCGCAAAAGCAGTGAAGAAGAAACCTCGAGACGTGCCAATTTCTGCCGGTCACTCAAATTGTGGGGCACCCACTTGTCGAGTTTTTTCACCTTCCCAATGCGTTTCAGACCATCCGCAACAGTGGAAACGCCTAGCTTTTCTGCAATCTCTCGAACTGTTTGGGATGGGTCAGCCTCCACAAACGCCTTCAAATCCTCGTCAGGTATTGCTTTAGGTCGACCGCTACGAGGTTCATCTTCAAGGCTGAAATCTCCAGAACGAAATTTGTCGAACCATTGTCGCACGGTGCTTTCTCCAACACTATTGGGCCCCCACACCTGGTTAATTTGTCGAGCTGTCTCGACTGCGGACCCAATTTGTAGTTGAAGAAAAATATCGTCCGAAGTTGCTCTTTTGACATGCTTCAAAAAGTCTTGGAAAAGGGGTTTATCAAGCAATGGTGAAACGGCAATTATACCATCAGATAGCGCAAAAAATTCTCTTCAGGATGTACTACTGAGACGCAAGGGAGAATGAGTTTTTAATCAGCAATGAATGTACAAAAAATAGTAACACAAAACGCTGAGAACTTTCCGGACAACCTAATAGTTCAGCAGCGCGTTTTCTACTGGTTTTGCCTTGTTATCAGGAGTGGTCGCGAAAAAAGAACCTATTCCCATTTCAGAGAGAAGCCGAAGTTGCCAATCGCAACTACGACGAACGCGATGGAAGCCGACAACGATGGCGGAGCAGCATGGCCTTTTAAAGCCAATCGATGGACTTTCTGAAACTTTCGTGTACTGCCAAATCACGTTCGCAGTACGTGACAACTGAGCCAGCGAATGCGCAGCAACTCTTCACGGTTCAGCACGACAGTCCTGTCGAATGTACGTGCTCTCTAGAAGCCATGCATTGCGCAGATGGATCACAAAATCGTATTTTCAAGGCCTTATTCAGTTACTGACTTCCATCTGTTACTGCCTCGTTTCCTCTTCAGAAATATTTCAATCTAATTCTTGAATGATTGATTACTGAATATTAATTATTTCTCGAATAATTCAATTCTTCTAACAGAGTCATTTACGCCTGTATTACTTCATTCCCGTTGGAGGGGGAAAAACAATCTATCCCTCAATTGATGAGGCAAATTGGCGCTCTCGACGTGGGGTAAGGAAATCGCACAGTGATTGTTTTCCTCGGCGCCAAAGACTATGATGGCAATCTATGCCACAATCCGCTCCCTCGCCGTTCTTTTTCCAACTCTCAGTCTTGGTTGGCTGCTCAATGACGCTACTTTCCGGGGTGTTTTGAATGAAATACTTTATTATGGGGAAGCTCATTTCGCCTAAACGCTTTGAAATTATAAGGTGAATTCAGTCGGAATAAATAGTTTATTAAATAGTAGCGAACTGTCCTGGAAAATGAAAGCGCGCCATATATAAGGGGGCCGCAGTCCTGTTTGCTGCGGACACTAGGGCCTTCCAGGGTGCTAGGTCTGACACAGCACCAGCCGCTCTGCTCTCCAGTGATTGTGGGACCTGGTAGGGGACAGCTAGCTGGTGACCGATTGCCGTTATTGTTTGGACGACATGGTACCGAGTCAAGCACGGGACAAAAAGAATTTCTCAAAAATAAGACTCCCTCCTGTAATTCCCCTTTTGAATCTAGTTGATTTTGCGTGTTGGCATAGGTGGGTGGAGTCACGGAAGGAATTACCGACCAGGGGGAGTTAGAGTAAGGAGTGAGCGAAAAAGTTGGTGGTAAACTAGGACCAAAAGCAGGGAAAGGACCCTGCTTTTGACCCTCGAAAGGACCCTGCTTTTGATCCTCGTTTAACATCAACTTCTTTGCTTCAGTCATCATCAACAGGGAAAGTCGCATTACCTGCTTCACTTATCCCTCCTTACTCCACTTTTTCTGAACCAAGACACCCCTGATTTGACTACTTCTTCTTGCATTCTCACTGCAAAATACTCAAACCAACTAACAAGAGGTGGTGGGATACAAGAGAGCTACAGAGGTGACAGCAGGTAAACAATTCATGGTCAATTAGCGCAGGGCTATGTGGATCAGCGAAGAAATCTGACG